GTCAAATTTAAATGAACAAATGGATCAAGTTGAATAAAATAATTATTTAGTAAAAATAATATTGAGGCAGAAAAAAAGATGTTTAAAAAGCCATAGGTGCACAATTCTGATACAACTATATCATTATTATTTGAGTATATATAGATTGTAAAAATAGTATTATAAATGCTTTATAATTTTTAGTTTTGGAAATGAAAAAGGTATACTGAAAAGAAGTAATTTTTTTTTTCTTGCTCTCTGTTTTTTTGTTTTTTTTTGGTGAGGTTTTTGCTATAAGGGTGCATGTGCTTGCCAGAAAGAGAGAGACAGAAAGCGAGAAATCACCCCCCAAAGTGTGGATGGTCACGCCACAATCCCTTCTCCATTCTCCTCTCGGGATCTTGGACACGCACGCACATGTGCCTGCTGTGTGTTTAAGCCACTGGATCCAGGACTCGAACCATGGTCGACACATGGGGAGTCCAGCGACATAGCCATTACGCCAATTGCTGGTCCCACTTTTTCTTTTTTTCTTTTTCTTTTTTTTTTTTTAGAGGTTTTTGCTATAGGATGTATGCGCTCGCCAGACACGGAGAGACAGACAGAGAGATAGAAAGCGAGAAATCACACCCCAGGGAGGATGGCCACACCACAATCTCTTCTCCATTCTGCTCTCCAGATTTTGAGCATGCCACACACATGCTCCCAGCGTGATTTTCAAGCTGCCAGGTCAGGACTTGAACTACAGTTGCCCTTAGTGAGAATCCTTCCCATTAACCACCATGCCACTTGCTGTCTCCACTTGTTAGTTTTAAAAGCATTTCTATTTTTGCAGGTATATGTGTTTTATATTCATTTTTTGATGTGCCTCTCCCAACATTTTCCCCTTGTTAAATTTTGTCCTTTTTATTTTTTTATTTTTAGTTTTGCCTGAGGGCACATTTGTTAGAGTGGTCTGTGTCACTTCAGTGAAAGATTTCACAGACTGAGGGGGTAAGTGGATAGAGAAGGTTTGTTTACTTTCTAAGAAAGGAAAGGGACCAGGTGCAGAGAGTCTTGTGTCTCTGAGAGGTAGGGGCTTTGGCCTTTTAAAGGAAAGTGGCTGAGAGTGGAATAGTTATGAGTAATCCTGAGACAGGATGGCAGGTGGTCTTTTACAACATCCGTGTTGTTTGGTTATCTCTTGGGGGGAGTCAGCCATCTTGGAATAAGATCAAGTAGTCCCCCTTTCTTCCTGTCTTTCAGTTAGAAATCTGATCTCAAAGAATTCCCCCTTGGGGAACATCCCCTCCAATTGGGGTAGGTCATACCCTTAGGCCTTTTACCCCATGCCTCCAAGGTTTCTGAGTTGCCTAGAGACCCTGTCTTCCCTCCACTAGAGCCTATGATAAGAGTCCCCAAAAGACAAAAAAGTATACCTGAGGCATTGGCTGTCCCCTTTCTATTAAAATGCCTAATACCGGACCAGCAGGTGGTGTGGTGGTTAAGATGCTGGACACTCCCATATGGCTTAACCAGTTTGAGTCCCCGGCCTGATAGCTTGATTTCCCACTTTTCCTCTCTGTCTCTGTCTCTGGTTAAATGAAAATAAATGAAGGAATAAATAAAATTAAATAATTATTTTTTAAAAATGCCTAAGGCACTGGCTGGCAGGTAGTGTGATGTTTAAAGGTGGTGGATTCTCACATGGCAGACCACAGTCTGAGTCCAGAACCTGGCAGCTTGCTTTCACCCTTCCAGGATGTTGTTGACTAACTAATGATTTTTTTTTTGAGAGGTTTTTGCTATAGGGTACATGTGCTAGCCAGAAAGAGACAGAGAGACAGAAATTAAGAAATCACTCCCCCCGGGGGAGGGCCATAGCACAATCCCTTCTCTTCCGTTCTCCTTTCGAGATCTTGGGCACGCATGCACACGTGCCCAGCGTGAGTTTAAGCCACCGGGTCTGGGACTTGAACTGCGGTTGACTACATGGGAGTCCAGTGACATAGCCATTACACCAACTGCTGGTCCCAACTAACCAATGAATTTCTGGAAGGGGCCAGTGAGGATAGGAACTTGGCCTGGTTTTTGCCTTGCCTCTTAGGTTCATTGGAAGAGGCAAGTTCTTTTTTTGTTTTTTGTTTTTTTAACTTTATTTATTTATTTATTTGTGTTTGACCAGAGAGGGACAAAGTGAGAGAGAAAGGGAAAGTGAGAAAGCAAGCCTCCAGGTCCAGAACTTGAATCGTAGTCAGCCATGTGGGAGTCCAGCACCCTTAACCGCCGCGCCACCTGCTGGCCCCGGACGAGGCAAGTTGTATAGCACAGTTTCAATTCACCATTGTAAAATTATAATTTCCCTTGGGATTTATGTCTTCATCCTTGTTTCTAGATCATCTCAATAATCTGTTTAAATAACTGCACAATAATATATTCTATTGATGTACCATTGTACAAATATTATAATGTTTTCTTTATTTTTAAGGAATCATTTTATTTAACTTTATTTATTCACTCATTTATTTTAATTTGACCAGAGAGGGAGAGAGTGAGAGAGAAAGATAGAAAGCAAGCTGCCAGGTCTGGGACTCGAATTGCGGTCAGCTATGTGGGTGTCCAGCACCCTTAACCACCACGCCATCTGCTGGCTCGTAATATTTTATTTTAAGTCTTTCTGCTACAGATGTAGCTGTAGAGATATTTTTTCTACCCTGTGTTGTTTTGTTTCTGTTGCATTGTTTCCTTAGATTGAATTCCTAGGAGTAGAATTGCTGTCAAAGAACATAACAAATATTTTTGAGTCTCATTGCCTATTACGTTTTTATTTTGAAAGGTTATACAACTTAGATTCTCACCAGAAATGAAATGTGTACTAATTTAATTGTATCCTCACTAGTATTTAATGGTGTTTTTTTTTTTGTTTTTTGGGTTTTTTTTTTAGACTTTTTGCCATAGGGCTCATGCACTAGCCAGAGAGACAGAGAGAGGGAAAGTGAGAAATCATGCTTCAGTGGGGATGGCTACACTGCAATCCCTTCTCCATTCTCCTCTTGGGATTTTGGACACACATAGACTTACACTGGATACTGGGTCCAGGACTCGAATCATGGATTCAGCCATGTGGGATCTACCCTTTTAACCACCATGCCACTTGCTAGCCCTAGTGATGGTTTCTTTAAAAAAAAAAAAAAAATGTTTTGGAATAGTATTTCCAAAAGTTGTTTAAATATTTATATCTGTGATTAAGCATTTCCATGTAAGTTAAGTTAGCTTGCTATTTATGCTCTCATCTGTGAGTTGTAGGTGCTTATGCTTCTCCATTTAATCACCTTGTTTTTCTTTCTTTCCTTTTTATTTGGTGGGGGGAGGAGGCAGAGCAGAAGGCACATGTGCTCCCCAGAGTGAGACAGAGAAGGAAAGTGAGAAAGTACCCCCCAATAGAGTATGGTCACATCCAGTCCCTTCTCTGTTTCTCCATCCTTTCCGTATTATGTTTGATTTTCAAGTTGCTCAGGACTGGGACTCTAACCATAATAGTCTACGTGGGATCTATATCCCTTAACCTGTAGATCCCATAGGACTGCCTTGATGTCTTTATTTTATATATATATATAAATCAGCGCCTTGAACAGAAAATGTTAGTTTTTATATATTTTTACATTTTGTGAAGCTGTTTTTGCAAAATTTTTATCTATAGGGTGCATGTGTTCGCTGGAGACATGTTTTTCAAGTCATGGTCTTGGACTTGAATTGTGTTGTGGGCCATGTGTTCTCCAGCCACTTTAACCTCCATGCTACCCTCTGGTCCGCACAATTAATTTTTACTTTATTTTATTTATTTTAAAATAATTTGTAATTTATTGTTATTATTATTTATTCATTCATTTATTTTAATTTAATCAGAGAGAGAGAGAGAGAAAATGAGAAAGAAGGCCACCAGATCCGGGACTTGAACTGTGGTCGGCCATGTAGGAGTGTCCAGCGCCTTAACCACTACGCCACCTGCTGGTCCCCATTATTATTTTTTAGTTTGCTAGAGGACACATGTACTCATCAGAGAGAGATGAGGCAGGATGTGGGAGTGAGAAAGCAAGCTGCCAGGCCTGGGGCTTATACCATTGTTGGCCTTGTGGGAATCCATCATCTCAACCACCATGCCATCTGCTGGCCTCAAAATTAAATTTAATATTTTATATACTTTCATCTGTCTTTTTGTTGAAGCAATTATTTGGTAGCTTATTCCCTCTTTTTGCTAATTTTCTGTAATTTGAATTTAATTCCTCATTTTTATAGTTAACTTTGGGTATGTGAAGTGTGCTTTGATTAAGTAGATAGTAATTAACAGTTTATTGAACCTCATTTGTTGAATTTTTAAATCTTTTTTAAGAAAATTGACTCTCATATATTGAGCTGTTAGATGTAATTGTTTAATAATTTTGAATGCCTAGTAATGGTAGACTTCATTCATTAATGTTCTTTCATAATTTTGTTTAAATTTTGGTAATTTTGTTTTGTTTCCAACAAAGATTCCTATTGAACAATCACTAGGAATGAATAGCACGTAATATTTGATTTAGCTTTCTCTTTTCATGGCTTGCCTCTTTATTTCTGAATTCTAAAGCTTCTAATAGGGCAGTTATCCTTCCTTCATAAAATTTTTTTGGTATGTTTTTGCTATAGTAAATGTAATCACTTTTATTATAGTTTCTTGCTGGTTATTACTAGCAAACTTCTTGAATGTATATATGATTATTGTTATTATTTTTGGAGCGAGATTTTTGTTGAAGGGTGTGTGTGCTTGCCCAAGAAACAAAGAGACAGAGAAACAAACCCCCAGAAGGGTTGGCCACGCCACAATCTTGTCTCCTCTATTCTCCTCTCAGGATTTTGGGCATGCACACGCACACGTCCGGTGTGATTTTTAAGCTGCCAGGTCTGGTACTTGAACTGCTGTCAACTGTGTGGGAGTCCAGCAACATAACTATAACGCCATCCACTGGTCCCGAGAATATATTTTTAAGTCATGAGATTTTGATGAAGTTTCAGTTTGAAGAAATAAAATTCTATTCTCTTTAAAATTTGTTTTTAGTTTGCTATAGGGCACATGTGCTTGCCGCAGAGACATAGAGAAAGTGAGAAATCATTCCTCAGAAGGAGTGGCCATACTGCAATCACCTCTCCTATTTTTTCAGGATTTTGGCACATGCAAATCACTTGCCCAGAGTGTTTTTTTAAGTTGCTAGGTCCAGGAGTCAAACCACAAATTCTGCCATGTAGAATCCAGCTACCTTAACTTCACCACTCACTATCCTAAAATCCTGTAATATTTTAGATATTTTAGAGCTAACCTTACAGGGTTTAAATATTGAACATCATTTCTTTCTTTTTTTTTTAGAGAGGTTTTTGCTATAGCATGCGCATGCTCGCCAGACAGATAGAGAGAAACAGAAAGCGAGAAATCACCCCCCAGGGGGGATGGTCATGCCGCAATCCCTTCTCCTCCATTTCCCTCTCTGGATCTTGGGCACGCACGCAAACGCGCCTGGTGTGAGTTTTAAGCTACCGGGTCCGGGATGCGAACTGCGGTTGACTACATGGGAGTCCAGCAACATAGCCATTTCGCCAACTGCTGGTCCCTTGTTTTCTTTTTTAAAGAGATTTTTTGCTATAGGGCACGTGTGCTCACCGGAAAGTCAGAGAGATGCAAAGTGAGAAATCACCCTTTAGAGGATGATGGCTACACCCCAATCCCTTCTCCTCCATTCTCCTCTCAGAATCTTGGGCACGCACACGTTCCTGGTGTGTTTTAAGCTGCTGAGTCTAGGACTTGAACCACCATGGGAGTCCAGTGACATAGCCATTATGTTATCTGCGGTTCCCATGGACATTATTTATTTTAATTTGACCAGAGAGGGACAGAGTGTTTGTGCACACACACGAGAGAGAGAGAAAGCGAGAGAGAGAGAAAGAGAGAAGGAAAGTGAGAAAGCGAACCGCCAGATCTGGGACTTGAACTGCAGCGCTTAACCACCATGCTACCTGCTGGCCCCCCATGGATGTTATATCATCGTTATTATTTGTTTTTTGCTACATGGTACATGTGCTTTCAGGGCAGGGGGAAAGGGA